CAAAGTTGCATGTTAGGGTCAGGAGAAAGGGTTAGGGTTAAATGTTAGGGTTAAAGGTTAAGTTTTAGGGCTAAGGCTAGGGTTAAGGGCTTGTGTTAGGGTTAACAACTAGGGTTATAGTTAAGGGTTACGATTAGGTTTAAATGTTAGGGTTAAATATTAGGGTTAGGGTTAAATGTTAGGGTTAAGGGTTGGGGTTAAATGCTAGGGTTAAGGGTTGGGGTTAAATGCTAGGGTTAAGGGTTAGGGTTAAATGTTAGGGTTAAGGTTAAATGTTAGGGTTAGGGTTAAGGGTTATGAGTTAGGGTTAAATTTTAGGGTTAAGGTTAAATTTTAGGGTTAGGGTTAAATGTTAGGGTTAGGGTTAAATGTTAGGGTTAAGGGTTATGAGTTAGGATTAAATGTTAGGGTTAAGGGTTATGAGTTAGGGTTAAATTTTAGGGTTAGGGTTAAATGTTAGGGTTAGGGTTATGGGTTAGGGTTAAATGTTAGGGTTAGGGTTATGGTTTAGGGTTAAATGTTAGGGTTAAGGGTTAGGGTTTGGGTTAAATGTTAGGTTTAGGGTTAAGGATTAGGGTCAAATGTTAGGGTTAAGGGTTAAGGGTTAGGGTTAAATGTTAGGGTTAAGGGTTAGTGTTTGGGTTAAATGTTAGGGTTAGTAGGGTTAGGGTTAAGGGTTCAATGTTAGAGTTAAATGTTAGGGTTAGAGTTAGCAGTAATTGTTAGGGTTAGCAGTAATTGTTTTGGTTAGTGTTCTAAACAATTATCACTCACCCTAACAATTGCCTGACTTACTGTAACTCTAACTCTAGCCCCTAACCCTAACATTTAACCCTAGTCCTCAACCCTAACATTTAACCCTGACTCTAGCCCTTACCTCTAACTCTAGCCCCTAACCCTAACATGCAACTTAGGACACATAAAGGTCCCTGCACTACTTTGATGTGATTTTGATGCTACTTGAGTGCCAGAGAGTGTATTGTTGCACCAAAGCCACATCAAAATCACATAAAAGTCGCGCACTACATGAACAGAGCTGTCATACTTTTCTATTAGCAAAAAAAGAAAAGTGCATCAAAAAATGTAACACTTGCATTCTTTGTGCGGGTCCTTTGATGTGTATTACACGCAAAATGCAATCTGCTGCGGGGAAAAAAAGTGCAGCTCTTGTGAGATGTTCCCAATTTGCAGTGGTCAGGACCTACCACAATGAAGGAAACCAGTGAAGTGGTGGCAGGGTCATGGGCGGCCAAGGCGTATTGATGCACGCTGGGAGCAAAAGTCCATGTAGTCCGATCCAATAGAAGAGCTACAGTAGCTCAAACTGCTGGAAAGGTTATTGCTGGTTTCAACAGAACACAGCGCGTCACAGTTTGTTGTGTATGGAGTTGTGTAGATGCAGAGCGGTCAGGGTGTCCATGCTGACCCATGTCCACAGCCAAAAGTGCCTACAATGGGTATGTGAGCATCAGAATTGAACCACGGAGCAATAGGAGAAAGTGGCCTGGTCTGATGGATTATGTTTTCTTTCACATCATGAGGATGGCTGGGTGCATATGCATCACTTATATGAGGAAAAGATGGCACCGGGATGTACTATGGAGAGAAAGCAAACCAGCAGAGGCAGTGTGATGCTTTGTCTAATGGAGTCCATGCCTCAACAGGTCAGGGCTGTTTTCGTGGCAAAAGGGGGACCTCCTCAATATTAGGTGGATGACCATAATGTAATGGCTGATCAGTGTATATATTAACCACTTGGGGATTAACCAATGATTCATGGCCGGGACCTGCTAATCAACTGTGTCCAATCACAGACCAGAGCCCTGTGTTGACAATCAACACAGGACTCTGTACAGAGGGAATGATCTCTAATCAACTGTGTCCAATCACAGCCCAGAGCCCTGTGTTGACAATCAACACAGGGCTCTGTACAGAGGGAATGATCTCTAATCAACTGTGTCTAATCACAGCCCAGAGCCCTGTGTTGACAATAAATACAGGGCTCTGTACAGAGGGAATGATCTCTAATCAACTGTGTCCAATCACAGCCCAGAGCCTTGTGTTGACAGTCAACACAGGGCTCTGTACAGAGGGAATGATCTCTAATCAACTGTGTCCAATCACAGCCCAGAGCCCTGTGTTGACAATCAACACAGGGCTCTGTACAGAGGGAATGATCTCTCTGTCTTTCTCCCTGCAAAGCAGGGAGAATAAACAAGGTCATTTTTAGTTAAAAGCAGCACACATTACACAAATTAACACTTGTTACGCACACACTTAACCCCTTAATTACCCACAATGTTATCCCCTTCCCAGCCAGTGTCATTAGTACAGTGACAGTGTATAATATTATCATTAATCACTGTATTATTGTCACTGGAGATGTCAGTGGCAGGTCAGTCAGTTCCCACCCAGTGTCAGTTAGTGTCAGATTGCCCGCTGCACTATCACAGTCCTGCTATAAGTCACTGATCACCGCCATTAGTAGTATATAAATAAAGATAAATAAAAATCCAGTATATATTCAGTCATGTCCCAAAATATTGGCACCTAAATTTCTGTCAGATAACGCACCACTTCACCCAGAAAAGTGTTGCAATTACAAATGTTTTAGCATTCTCATGTTTATTTTTGTTTGTTTTGGTATGACACAAAAAAGTAGAGAAACAAAAAGCCAAGTCTGACACATTCCACGCAAAACCCCAAAAATTGACTGGACAAAATTATTGGCATCTTCTCAAAATTGTAAGAAATAATTGCATTCCAAGTTTGTGATGCTTCTGTAATTTGCAATTAAACTCACCTGTATCACCTAACAGGTGCTCACAATATAGAAATCACAGCAGCAACCAGTTAAAATGGTGAAAATCTTACTCAGCTTCTTTGTTGTGTGTCTCTTGGAGTATGGAGAAGATAAAGAGCAGGAAAGAATTGTCTGAGGATTTGAGAACAAAAATTGTGGAAAAGAATGGACAATCTCAAAGTTACAAGTCAATTTTCAGAGATCTTAATGTTCCTGTGTCCACTGTGTGGAACATTGTCAAGAAGGTTACAGCCCGTGGAACCCCCGTAGGTAATCTCCCTGGATGTGGACGAAAGAGAAAAATTGATCAAAGATTGTTCGAATGGTGAATAAAGAACCTCAATCAACTTCCTTCAGGCACATGGTACCTGAACCAGCTGCTGCTACCCCCTCCAGAACTCAGCAGTCCAGTGAGCACTGGAGGGGCTGAACAAAGAGGCGGTGACTAACAGTCAGCTGCTCACTGAAGACCAAGAATTGAGAGATCAGTGGTCTTTGATCACTCAGTTCTCAGTCTTAGAGGTGGTGGGGGACAGATGTAGCATTGGATCGATGTTGCATCCATATAGTTGAGTATGTATGTTTGTTATTTTGAAATACTGCACATCCCTTTTCCGTGAGGGAATTCCAGTATGGTGACTGGCACATAGATATGCATAACAAATAAGATTAGGTAATGCTGATTGAGAGAGTTTAGTTCCGCTTTAAAAACCCTGCTTTTTTCCCTGTCTGTGCCCTTTTTGGGTAATTTCCCTTTTTAGGGAAATTTCTCCTTACTTCCTGTCCTAGAGATTACATTTCATGACTTCAGTTTATTTAACTGAATTAGGTTATTTAATTAGTTTATTTAACTTTATTTAATTATGTAACACCCTCCTAGTTTAGCTAGAGGGAGCTACATCCCAATGGTTAGTCAGGAGCTGAGTAGCAACCCTGGTGTAATAGCCAGAGGGGTGAAATTGTGGTCAGGGCTGAGAGACTCTGCAGGCCAGCACCTCTGGAATTTCCCCCTGCTCTGAGGTGTTCGGAGGAGGGCCTTAGAGACAGTGGGTGGATCTGAGGAGTGGCTGGCTGCACTCTTGAGGGACCTCAGCCAATCCCCAACAGAAGGTTTGGCAAGGGGCTGGGGCTCCCTTAAAAGTGTAGGACCCTGATCGATAGGGGAGTCGAGTGGAAGAAGGAGAGGAGTGTGGAGAGGAAGATTTGAGGCAGAGGAAGGAGGCTGAAAGGAGGCCTAGTGGGATGGGGCCTGCCTGCGAGCCTAGAGCTGGGAAGGAGGAAAACTCAGAGCATACTGCCCCCCTGAGCCAGGACCACTTGTATGGCAGGGAAGAAGCAGCCCAGCTGATAAGCCTGGAAGCAGCAGCTAACCCGCAAATGGTACAGGAGATGATCTGAGTGAGTACACCTATACCCCATGGGCGGATAGGGGAAGGAGCAATCTGGTGGAAAACCAGATTAGCCCCCTACTAGTGACTGTTCATTACTTAACAGTACAGGAGCCAGATTCCCTCCTCAGGAAAACCTCCAGATTGCTGGGTGAAGAGGAACATTTCATCTAGGGTCTGGGGTGATACATTAAGGAGATGCTAGCAAACTCTCAAACAGAGACTGTGTTGCAGAAGAGAATCCTGTGAGTAGTTCTAGGAAGCCTGTTCTCTGTTATCGTTACCCTTGGGCATCCTATACCCCCTTTACCCTATCTCAATTCCAAAAATCCCCTCAATAAACAACAAAACAAGAGCTCAAGGACTGATTTCTGACTCTGAATGCAAGCTTCTGTGGATAATGCAGTTTGCCTGGCTGTGCAGGACTATAGGGGGAGAATCAGCAACCCAGCAAAGGGGGTAGTGCTGCAGTTATAATTCTCAATCTTGAACCACCTTCCGCCCGCCCTATAGTACAATGACGGGCGCAAGATGGTTCTCTCGTTCTGATAGGACGTCATATGACATCCTACCATTCTCACTGCGCATGCACAGCTCAGGGAGCGCGCAGCGTGGCAATCGCCAGCGCGCTGTGTCCCTCGGACACAGCGGATCATGGAAAGAGCCGAAGATGTTGGCTCGGTCATGTGATCAGCGGTGTCCAATCACAGCTGATCACATGTAAACACGGAAATGCCGGTTTTTAATCGGCATTTCTCTCCTCTCGAGCTGTCACGCTGACAGCTCGGGAGGAGAGGAGAGCTGGACATGTACACTGATCATCAGGGCACTGATGATCAGTGTGCCCTGATGATCAGTATGGCCCCAGAAGTGCCACCTGTCAGTGCTCATCAGTGCCACATCAATGACACATATCAGTGCATACCAATGCACATCAATGCCACATATCAGTGCCCATCTGAGCTGCCTTTCAATGTCACCCATCAGTGCCAGTCAGTGCTACCTATCAATGCCAATCAGTGCCACCTATCAGTGCCAGTCAGTGTTGCCTATCAGTGCGCACCAGTGCCAGTCAGTGCCGCCTAACAGTGCCAGTCAGTGCTGCCTATCAGTGCCAGTCAGTGCCGCCTAACAGTGCCAGTCAGTGCTGCCTAACAGTGCCAGTCAGTGCTGCCTATCAGTGCCATATATCAGTGTCATGTATCAGTGCTGCCTTTCAGTACCCATCAGTGATGCCTGTCAATGCCCATCAGTGCAACCTACCAGTGCCTCCTCATCAGTGCCCATCAGTGCCACCTATCAGTGTCCATCAGTGTAGCCTATCAGTGCCCATCACTACAGCCTCATTAGTGCACATCAGTGAAGGAGAAAAATCACTTATTTACAAAATGGTATAACAAAAACTAAGAAAAAAATTTTTTTTTTTTCAAAATTTTCAGTGGTTTTTGGTTTGTTTAAGAAAAAATTAAAATCGCAGAGGTGATTAAATACCACCAAAAGAAAGCTCTATCTGTCTCAAAAAAATGATAAAAATTCATAGGGGTACAGTGTTGCATGACCGCGCAATTGTCATTCAAAGTGTGACAGCGCTGAAAGCTGGAAATTGGCCTGGGCAGGAAGGGGGTATAAGTGCCCTGTAGGCTAGTGGTTAAAGCCCAACTCCGGGCAAAAGAAAAACGTTTTCCCATGTAGTGGAGCTGTGCCCACACTGCATGAGTCAACTGCTCGTTTTGTCCAGAGGCAAACAGAAAGCTAATACTTACCCGGTTTTGTGCTGGAAGGATCGGAGGATTAGATAAGTATAGCTCCCTTCTCCAATCCCATAAACAAAATATGAACACTTAACCCTTGCAGTGCAGCCACAGCACAGGGAACTGTGAACAGGGGAACAGGGGAACAAAACGTTTTTTTTTTTTTTTTTTTGTGCCGGTGTTGGGCTTTAAAAAGTTCCCTGTAAAAGACACTATTTTAGAAAATATCTCCTATTATATCATGCTTACAAATAAAAAAAAAAATCCCAACTTTTTATTTTCAAATGAGTGAAAAAAACTTTACTTTTATCACGTTTTTAATAATATTCAAAAAAGTACCTGACACCATAAACACCAGTAGAACAGAAAATCAACTGGAAAAAAAACAAGCATTCGTATTTAAATTTTTTCTTCTTTTTCTTCCAAAATAAATGACATTTTTGTACAGTTACAAAGCTAAATAAAACAATCCATTTTTTTTTACAGATTATGAAAAACATCATCATCATTTAACATCAAAATAAAACAATACATTCTCTATATTATTTTAGAAGCAGCAGCAACTTAAAAAAAGAACAGATATTCGCACATCGTTATAAACTTTTTTTCTGTTAATACATTAGTTATTTGCAAATAAATTACAAGCACTTATAGCCCACAAATATTTTGTAGAGTTGGCACCATGAATCTAGACGTATATATGGGACTTGTAATTTATATAAACCTGGGTTTCTAGAAGTATGATTTTTTTTCTTTTTGAACAAGGTACGATTGTATATGTTCATGATTGGCAGATTAGTAGCCCACTTAGCATGTGTAGTTTCATTACACACAACACTGACATTTTATATACACCAATCTAATCACTTTAAGTAAAAATGTTTGTTTTTTTTTTGTTTTTTTGGATGAACATTTTTTTTTTTTACAGTACAAGTTATGAGCATGACTGTAATCTGTTAGGTCAACAGGCAGATGCTAAATATTGATACTACTAGCTATGATGCAATATCTATCAAGCAGAAACATCAACCAGATTAAATAGTATATGGTGTGACTTCAAGAACAGTTACAGGTGCGACAATTAAAATCTCCCAGTTTTTTCAGTGTAATATGTGCGTCATTTGCGTCCTAGGATTCAGCTTGCCCTTCTTAGTACATATTGGTGTTCCTGCTGCTGTATGGCATTTGTGTTTTGTTTTGTTTTTTTTTTTTATTATACTTTATGTTTTTGAGGATATTGCCCTGACAGTGTAGCAAAATATGTTCTAAATTAGTAACTGAGTACTTGGCATGATTGGTATTTATGATTTAACCATTTGCCATCTGTCCTATAGCAGTGAAAGGGCAGCCGCTGTTGCAAAATTACATTTACATGCGTGATTTTGCATTTCCGTATAGTGGGCGCGCGTGCACGCCACCAGCAATCAGCTTCTGCTATGAATCGTCACAGCAGAATCTAATCAGTGGTTGCTGGCCAACGGATGTCTGTGTGTATATATAGCCACTTCTTTTTTTATTCTGGATAGAGCAGGGAGAGTTAACATTCCCATCAGACTATTTTTTAATGTCCATGTCCTGCTGATTTAAGATTTCCCTTAACTTCCGATCCTGAAGATGCAACAGGAAGTGAGACGAAATGTCACCTAAGGCCGGCCATACAAGGGTCGCAAAATCAACCGATTTTTCATCCGAAAGTCGGACCTAAGAATAATCGGCCGATTTTTGCTCTGTTAGTGGGTCAATGGCACCAGCCAATTTTCATGGTTCCTCCTCTTTTTGGTGATCGGGCATGTTGGAAAATTCGTGAAAAACGACTGATTTTCGACTCAATGATGGGGTGAACTTTATGACTTGGTCGGCCAATTTTCAAAATCAATGATGGCACCATCGGATTACCGAGCGAACGACGTTTACGATTTTTGGACGAAAAAAAAAGCGTTCGGAATTCAAACCATGTATGGCCTGCATAAGTAAGGGGAGAGTTTGCCTCTTAGACAGTTGTTACTGGAACATTTTTCCCTATTGGAAGATTTCCCTTTACATACACTAATACTATAATACCAATGCATAATAAGGAGATATTCCTGCATGTGTAAACAAGGTGGGGTTGATTTATTAAAGGCAAATAGAATTATTTCAAAGGAAATTTTCCCCAGAGCATAGTAAATGAGGTGAAGCTCTGCTGACTTCCAGCGTCCAATCATGTTCACGCGAAAACATTTTTAATTTTTTTTATTCTGCTTGCGTGTGGTTAGGTGATGTTTGCAAAGTAAAATTTCCCCATTTCCTTTGCAAAAATCATTATCCTATTTGCCTTTAGTAAACCAACCCCAGTCTCTATTTTATTTTTTAGAAAACACATTCTCTATAGTTTTCTTTAAATATAAATAAATTATAAAAAGTAAAACCTTTTAAATAAAATATATTATTATATTGTTTTTATTAGTTTCATTATATAATTAAAATTTAGCAGTAATTTTAGTTATGTTTGCCTGATATGGCAGTAGTTATGGTTGTTACATAAGTATTATTATTGAAAACTAACACAATCTAAAACACGACCCTCCTCTCCACCCCTCCTACAGCCCGCTGCGTGGATAGCTCTCTTTTTTCCCTTTTTTAAAAGAAATAAATTATCCGGCCCTGCCCCCTATTACGCCTTATGCCAAGGAGAATGATGTGTACTGGCCTAACTTTGGGATATGCACATCACACATCCAAGTAGGCAAAGACTTTCTTGTTCAAATATTTTATTGTTTTTAAAGTACAACAACATAGGTTATAAGTAAGCAAATGGGATATTGAAGGTGTACAGTAAATGAACAGTAAAGGTTCCCATTTATACTAGTCAGGCAGCACTAACAAGAGTGAACAACAACTATCAAATAGAGCCTGACATGAAGGGAAGGAGGAGGGGGGAAAGAAAGGGAATGGTAGGGTGTAAGGCTCCAAGGAAGGGGATAAGGAAAATAGCCAAATAACCGCAGTATCAACAAAGGATGGTTCCCGTAAAGCAGAAAACATAGATTATGGGTTGAGAAGGGACTCGTCAAAGTTGGGTGGGAGGAAATGCTCCACCCATGGGTTCCAAATCTTTTTAAACTTGGGGATGGAATCTAGGATAGTGGCTTCTATTTTTGCGTGGATCATCGCCTGAGTGACCCTAGTCATAACTGCAGTCGCACTCAGTAAGGGTGATTTCCATGCTTTAGTGATAACCTGTTTCGCTGCAGTGGTGACTTGTAGAATGAGCTTAAATTTTGCCTTCGTAATGTCTGGTGGCCGGTGATTGAGAAGCGCGACTAGAGGACTTGGTTGGAGGGTTGTGGCACTGAGTGCAGACAGTGTTCTGAATACCTCCGCCCAAAAAGTTCGGACGATTGGGCAATCCCACCAAATATGAAAAAATGTTCCCAGGTCTGCGCAGCCTCTGAAACAAATTGGGGGATAATCAAGGGTAAATTTCACAATTCTGGTTGGGACAAGATACCAGCGGGTCAGGACTTTGTAATTGGTCTCCAGGGCCACAACATTTTGCGAGGACTCTTTGGTATTGTTCCAAATGAGGTCCCAATCTGATGGGTCGATTTGCCGGCCTAAATCCGCTTCCCATTTATCGGTATACGAGGGTAATGGAGAAACGGATGGGGTTGTAAAAAGGGAGTATAGATAGGATATGAGACCTCGTCTATAAGGGTGGCAAAGACTTTCATTCAGTAAAGATGGAGGAGGCGGGCCTAGTGGGGCAACATTGGGAGGCGAGCTGGCTGAACCCAGAACAGCGGGTAGACCTGCGAAGAAATCACACCAAAACATGGCAGCCCAGTGCTACCAGAAGAGGATCTCAGCTGGATTCGCTGGGTGGGTGAGTATCTGAAATGTGCAGAACTCACCCCCAGGTAAGTAGGGGGCTAAAAATGGGGGAGGCGGGTGTCAAATTCTGCTTTAAGGCTTTGGAACTACTGATCATTTTGAATTTGCCACAGTAACATTTTTTAGGGTTAGAATTTTCCCATGAGAACAGTGTTAGCATTCAATGTCATCTAACATCCTAGCCATTTGATAGGAATTGGTTGTCATTAGCAGAATTTGTTGAGCCATATTCGAGTAACATTAGGTCTACTACAGTCCAATCCATCCTTTCTTACCAAGGGTTCCGTGGAGCTCTAGGCTTAGAGGTTGCTACGGGTTCCTTGAGCAGTGAGCAACAGAATATTAACCTCTAGACTAATGGTGTGTGCACAGTTACATAGTTGATGGTTAGACCAGTGGAATCTCTCCATTTGTCTTTCAGGTAACACATGGCACCACTGGCACAACTGCCTTTAAGATGGCATTTTTCTTACTGATCCCCAATGTAACCAGGCATTCATCCCAAAGACACCCAATATCTCTAGACATTCTTTTCACTGACCCTAAATGTAAATGAACATTCATTCCACTTCTCCCAAAATCTAATCTTTGTTTTCATTCTTTCTACTGACCAGCAGTATAGGGGGCCCTTTTTCCAAGTGATGATCAATGTAAGTGTAAATGCAGTTTTTACTGTCTCTGTTCTAACCATTAATATTATTTATTTAATTTCAGTTTCATAATTATTACTAAAAATAATTACTGATACATGTAAAGTACCATAAGCTGTAGAT